GAAAACAATAGAGCATTTGCAATATAGGATCAACATGTTCAAGTGACAAGCATGACTTGCCTTGCTCTGCTGCTGGAGGAACCTCGGCGACTATCTCGAAGTACACCGGAGCGTCGAAGGAACCGGAATCTAGCGACATACAAAGCAAACATTGCAAACAGGCTATAAGACTACTGAAACAGAGAACAAAACCATTTTTAATGGATTCTACACATTTTTCTTGATTTACTGAGACTTGAATGGGATTAAACGGAGCTCGGATGAATTAGTTATGAATTTTAGAAGATTCACTGTGTTTATTACTATAAAAGAAATCCTTAAATAATTTATTGCGCAATATTAACCAGGGCTGACGTCAGCGCGGGGCGGCGCGGCGCCGACATGCGGGACCCACCGGTCAGCGACATGGGAGAGAGAGGAAGGGGGTAGCGGCGCGCGGGCCCACCGGTCAGCGACCCGGGGAAAAGGAGGGGCGGCGGCGCCACGTGGCGGCCGATCCGACGGCCCCGATCTACCCAAGGGTAGATCGGACGGCGGCGCGGGACCTCGCGGCCGGGGCGCGCGGGCGCGGCGCGAGACGGCGGCGACCATGGCGCCGGCGGCGCGGCGCTCACACGGCGGCGGCGCGCATGCGGCGGCGGCGCAAAGCGACGACCGACGGCGATCGTGGGGCGGCGGAGAGCGGCGGCTAGCGGCTCTTAGGAGGAGAGGAAGGGGAAAAGGAAGGAGGGGATGCCTCACCGAGGGTGGCCGGCGCGGAGGAAGGCGATGGCGGACGGCGACGGCAAGCCACGGGAGGACGGCGTCGGCTAGCGGACGAGCTCCGGCGTGCCCTAAGGAAGGAGAAGAGAGGAATTAGAGAGAGAGAGGTGAACCATGGCGATCGGGATCCATGGCCGAAGGCGGCGGTAGAGGTGGCGCTCACCCGTGCGCGTGGAGATGAGGGCTCCGGCGACGAACCTCGACGGAGGAGGGGCGGACGAGGTGGACCTCGGCCACGCGAAGCTAACGGCGGCGACGGCGTGAGACGGCGGCGAGCCTAGCGGCGGCTAGCGGCGGCTGGAGTAGCAAAAGCGGCGGCGGCGGGTGGTTGCACGGCGCGGAGGCGATGGGGAGCTCGAGAGGGGTCGGCGAAATGGGGAAAAAGAGAGAGGGGGCGCCGGCGATGCTTAAATAGGGGGAGAGGGGGTCGGACGTGGCCGGGAGCGGCGGAATTCGACGGCCGACGTGGGGGAGTGGGGAGGAGAGAGAGGCGGGATTCGGTTTTCGAATCCCGGCCATCTCGGGCGCGGCACGAGCGGGAGAGGGAGGGGAACGGGCGCGGGGAAGGCGGCGCACGCGCGGGCGTGGCCGACGTGGCCCGGGAGAGGCGGAGGCGTGGGCGCGGCGTCGGTTGCGGCGGTGGCGCGCGAGCGGGATCGGCGGGAGGTGGGGGACGGACCCGACAGGTGGGCCCCACCTGTCGGCGACCCCGAGAGAGGAGGCGGGCGGCGGCTGCCAGGCTGGGCCTCGGCCTGCGGCCGGCCCAGCAAGGAGGAGGGGGAGGAAGGAGGGGAATGGGCCGGCGGCCCATCCGAAAAGGAAAAAGGAGGGAAAAAGGGAGGGAAAAGAAAAAGAAAAAGGAAAAGAATTTTCCCTGGAATTAACAATTGCACTTTAGTGATTTTTAATTGGTTAAAATTATTTCTAGGGCTCTGAAAATTCCACTAAAAATCCTGTTAATGAATTTCGACATGTAGAACTCAAGAAAAATTCCACATGTCAATTCCGATTATTATTTGCATTACCTTCTTAGGGTTTTCTCCTGATTTCCTCTGCATTTTCTTGGGGTCATTTGGAATTTACAATTTTGACCAGGGAGGAAAACTTCGGGGTGTGACAGCTAAGGGGGGAAAACGGCCCACAACACCCGAGGGAGGTAAAATAGACTTTTGCAGGGAAAGCTGATTTGGAGAGAATTGGAGTTTGTATTTGGATTCAAATTCGATATTCGAACTCGAGGTTTCAGGGAGGAATCAAGGAAGACTCAAGGTAGGGTTTGATATTTTTCGGAATTGGGAGCGAGTATCTGCCGAGGATTCAAAGGACGCGATTGAATTTCGGAATTTGATTTGGAGATTTGAGTCGAAGGAGGAATTACGAGGTGGAGGATTTTGATTTCGATGAGAGGGAACAACGGGATTGAATTGAGATCCTGGCACGACTTAGACTCTCACACAAAGAACGAAAATTTTCGCAATTAGGATTTTGCCGAATTAGTTTTTAACGTCTCACGAAAAGCGGAGAGTTACAAAACAGGGCCGGCCAAAATATCGCAGTATGGTTGCTTCTAAGATTTAGATAAAGATGTAAAAAAGTTAAAATATTAGCACATTCATTCGATGTGTATTGACTTTTTTTGAACTCCATCATGTATGTTACTATTCCAAATCGTTGATCGAATTAAAGATCATGTATTATCGAGTGCATAAAATAATCAATTATATAAAGCATGTTCCATGATGATCCACAGTTAAGTCGTTTGCTTTATGGCTGATAAGGTGTAAAAAAACAAAACTTTGTATATATGTTCTTAGCAAATTAAAAAGGAAAAAAAGTACGATTTACCCCCTGAACTATCGTGGTCGACCGAATTACACCCTTCTACTCGAAAACCAAACATTCTACACCCTCAACTTTTGAAACCGGACAAATAAGCCCCCGAATATTGTTTTGAGTGGTTTTGACTTGACCTTGCACACGTGACGCCAACGTTGCAATCCAATCAGCCAAAAAAAAAAAATCCCTGGCCCACATGTCATACCTCTTCTCAACCCATTCCATCTCTCTCACGCTGGGGCTAGGTGGCGGACGACCATTGGTGGGCGGCTGAGGCGGAGCGGGCGGCCGGCGGTGGAGGCAGAGCTCCCCGTGCGGCGGGCAGCTGAGGCTGAGGCGGAGGCGGAGGTGGAGCTTCCCGGGCGGTGGGCGGCTGAGGCTGAGGTGGAGGCGGAGCGGGCGACCGACGATGCCGTGGAGGAGGGCGGCATCGGCAGCGATGAGGGAGCAGGCCTCCGTGCCGCCGCGCGCGCCACCTCCGTGCCCCGCACGTGCCGCCCCCTCTGCGTCCCACGCCGCAGCCCATTGCCCGCCTGCTGTTGCGCGCAAGAGAGAGGAAGAGGAGAAAGAGATAGAGTGATAGTAGGACAAAACCGCTCTAGATTGGGTCGAGGGGGGTAATTTGTCCGGTATTGAAAGTTTAAGGTGAACGATGTCTGGTTTTTGAGTTTAGAGAGGTAATTCGGTTTAAGTTTCAATTCTAAATTTAAGTTTCAAACTTTAAATTTTTGTTGTAGTTAATAAGCAAAAAAAATAATATATGTGTTTGGAAGATTATAATATCTATGTTGATATGTGTTTATACAACTTTTAATTATCTTTATCTGTGTTGTCCATCATTTAACTTTATATGGAGCAAAGTAAATAATCTTCCAATTCATGGTTTCACTATTTTCTTATGTGTAGAAAAGTATTATCGTTTGAACTGACCTACTACGGACAAAAGGTCAAATCACAACGGCATTTTGAACTGATTAATGACTCTTGATTTGATTTGGCACTGACACTTTGACAATGGACATGCACATTGACATTAGACACTCTAAGGGTCCAATTCATAATAGGATTCTCCATGAGGGTGGATGTGTTAAATTGACAAAAAAGCATTGTTTTAGCTCGTCTCCGCGCTTAGGCGCCTAGCCCATTAGGCATTAGCCCAAGCATCTTTCTGGATTCAGGAGAGCTCTTCTCTACTCCGTTCTCTAGCGTACAAAAAGCATCCGCGAGGAAGCGCATCCATGGTAGCGGCGGTGGTGGCAACACCGACGAGATCGGAGGCTCTGACCCTTCCTCCGCATGGCATGGCAGTTATCCAACTACAACATCCACGAGTACACGCGCTGCCGTGTGCAGCGGATGCCTTCTGCGAGAACCGTGCCCTTGGCGACGGCGTTCGCGGACGGGAAGAAGCAGCTGGATGTGGCAAAACGGCATGCGGTGGTGTACTCTCTGTACGCCCCAAAGGCCAAGAGCATCATGGAGATGAAGCTACAGTGATCGACGAGAGAGGTTTCGTGCCCTTGCTTGCTCTCCTCTTACTAAGGATTTCTTTCTGCATTGTTTATATCATCATGTGATAGGTTCGAGGGAAATTGGTGCGATTAAAACTGAAATGGTATTATGTTTGCTGGATAATTTCCAATGACATGTTACTTTGAGTTCAATAAATTAGTCAATTCCACGATTCTGGTCTCTTGTGTTCAACATGCCATGCCCCATGGTTTCCCAAATCTTGAACTTTAAAACCCAAACAAGCTGCGGTTGTGTAGAACTCCTTGATACTTTACTTGTGAGGGGCTAGAATAGATTGCATATGTACTAAGCGTGAGTTCTGGAGATCAAAACCCCTAGACCATAACTCTAGCAAATTGGTCTTAGCACGGTGAATTGTCAAGGGGCTAAAGAAATATCCCCTAAGATAGTAGTATTTTGTCAGCATGTATGCCACCAAGTAATTGCACTACTGCAAAAATCATGCTTCCTTGGTACAATAGATATGAGTACAGAATAGTGGGTTGCCCTTGATTGAAAGAAACCATGTTATTCTTGTAGCATCACATCTCCAAATATTTGCTTCGCCTTCTTCTGTGGCTTTTAGTCCTATGCTATTGTGCCTTTGTAGGTTGCCACCAGTGAAAATTCATAAAAAAATCCGCATTTAGTTTGACTACCAAACATCTTATGATAAGTCGGAACCTCTAGCTAAATTAGACTATTAGGGCAATTTCATCCCCCCATTAATGGGAACTAGGCGAGCACCATATAAAATTTCTACAAAGATAGTTCAAAGGTTCTTAGTCAAAAAAAAAAAAGTTCAGAGGTTCATCCTACAGATATTTTTCAGAGATCGTTTAAATCTTCAATATATACTGTGGTGCAAACTTGATAAGTCACTAAGTCACTTTGGACCAATTTCTCTTTTTCAAGAATAAAAGTTTGCACAATTTGAAGGGAAAATAAAAGAGGCATTGTACAACTGCCACAAGAAATCTGCGTGTGCACTGTTTGATTTGTTAGTAATTTACACTTTTTCACATGTACAATCATAGTTAGTTGTTACAATTTGAGATGGTCTCAGAGCAAGTTTATCTTCTCGTGAGCACCGTTGCTTCCCCACCCTAAGTTTCAATGACCAGTAATAAGATATTAATCAGAGACAGAAACACGGTCGTCGTCTTGAGTACTATGATCTTCCGTCCAAGCTGTTCTTGCATGATGTGTTGTGCTCAAGCTCCCCATGGCATCAGTCTTCTCCATCCTTGACCGCATCTTGGAGTTCAGAGAAGTCCACTACAATGTTGTTCTCCATGGCGATCTCTTTGGTCACCTTCTTCTTCAGCTCCATGCTGTTCAATTGCCAGAAAACCTCCACACCAACTGCAAGATCCAACTTTGTTAGCTCTCTATTCTTCCATCTTTACAACTGCAAAATTGACTTGTGAAATGACTGGACAATATATGCTATCTAGTACCATTGGATCAACAATGCCGGTGCCGTCCTTTGCCGCCTCAGCGAAGTCACTGCCAAACTTGTCCGCGAGGATGGTGCGCGCGAACGGCAACTCCGGCAATTCGCCGCACCAACCGGCGACAAGCATGACTGCCGCTGCCGCCTCACGTATCTCCTCGGTGCACTCACTGTACACACCAAATACAATTGTCATGTGACCGGAAAAGAGATAGAGGACGCGATAAAGTCTGGTGTGAGGAAATGAAATGTATGTACCCAGGCTTGTCCAGCTTTGCAGCATTCTCGATGAGTCGCTTGTAGTACATCTCTATCATTTCGAACGCCTCTAACATGTTGCCCTCCCCTATGACTTGTTCTGCCTGTGAGGAGAGAGCAAGACATTGCTGGCATTAGCATGGCTTGCATTGGAGCAACCTCTCTTCATCAGAACAGGTCGTAGATACTTACCCGGTGGATGGCGCGATCGAGGTGGCCGAGGGTGAGAAGCTGGCGAACGTCATCGGTGGCAATGGACTTGCGAGCTAGGCGAGGCCGGCGCACAGCAGCGATGCGTGAGATGGCGAGCCCTAGGAGGGTCTTGAGCTTGCCCGTCTGCTTGGAGGTCTTCCGATGGAGGAACCCCATTGTTAAGTCGGTTCTCGTCGGTGTTCTTGTACTAGGTTAGTAGGTTGTTGGCTTCGACGTTTGGCTACGAACTCCAACCTTGGCAACTGTGTATGGGCAGTTCCTTTGCGTGATGGAAAGGAAGGAGGAGGAGTATGCGAGTTGCTTGTGTGAGCTGATGAGGAAGTCTGCGTTGAGGGGCAAAGATTTTGTAGGGCCATTCTGCTTCTATTTTGGGGAGTCTAATTTTTGTGCTCGTTGCTTCACTTCGGTGTACATGAACTGCTGAACTCCTTTCTTGCATATGGAAAATGGGGGGTGGGCATCACGTGCGGCATTCCTAGATAATGACAATGAGCAAAGCATGCACAATGCTATGAGAAAACTGCAAGCCAAACGTGCAAAAAATTTCACCAGAGATAAACACGAAGAACATGCATTACCCAGGGAAAACACGATGCCTGATATTGGAGGATGCAGAACTTGTGCTGGATGAGAACGATTTTTGAGATGGCATAGCGAAGACGAACGCAGTCATGCTGTCATGCATGCTCACAACCTCGGCTGCTAAACGGCGGGCTTAGTATCCAGCTCTTGGCAAATAAGCAAGCCATTGTAGTCTTCGGGAGCTCAGACAAGTGCATTCTTCTTAGCGATTAACCAGGGTTGTTAAGTATTTTATGCCCATCATGGAGGCCCTCATGTAAGGAGGCCGACACAACTGCGGAGTCCAGGCGACGCCCTACACTTCCTCGTCGCTCTCATCGAACACGACACCCATCTCCCCTTGTGTAACCAAGCCGTGTAGAGCTTGAGCAACTTGCTACTTTCCTTGCAAGGAGGCTAGAATAGATCGTGTATGTACTATATACTAAGTGCAACTTTTGGAAATAAAAACCCCTTGACATTACTCTAGCATGGTGAATTGTCTAGGAGCTGAAGAAAGATCCCCTGAGATAGTAGTATTTTGTTGAGAAAAACTCCGAATTAATTACCTTGTTGAATTATTGCGACGGTTCAATTTACACCTCTAAACTATAAAACCAAAAATTCTACCCACTCAACTCTTCAAATCGGACCAATAACCCCCTATCCCAATACAAATTGGATTTGATCTTATGTGGCATCAGACGCGGCGATTAATTTTTTTTTTAATCTACATGACAGTTGGCCCACTTGACATCGATTTTTTTTTATTTTTTTGAACATTTTTATTTTTTAATTTTAAAATAAACCCTTCAAAATATTATTTTCAAAATCTGAATCTTTTGGCCATGCCAGCCCGCTTAGAGTGGCAAAACAACACTGACATGCCACACGCAACAAGCGTGACAGTTTTGTACCGTCGTGACCAAATAACACTGCCACGCCATCTAGACCGGCATGACAATGTTGTTTTACCACGCCAGTCTGGCTGGCTTGGCTGAAAGGTTCATATCTTATAAATAAGTTTTGAAAGGGTTTATTTTTAAAATTAAAAAGTTCAAAAAAAATTCCTTGATAGCTCTATCTTCTCTATTTTTTTCTTCACAGCCCAAGAGAGAAAATGGGAGGGCAGGGAGGTAGTGGGTCATGGGTGTCCACGGCGAAGTCCCGCGAGTGACGACGCTAGCGAGCAGCGGCGCGGTAGCAGGAGTCTAACACCGAGGCTCGAGGAGGGGCGCCTAGCGGACAGAGCTAGAGAAGGGGGCGCCGTCGTGCTCACTGGCCAGGAAGGCAGGTACACAACTAGATCTGACCACGGGTCGTCAGTGCCTTCTGGTTGCAGATGTGCAGGTACATCGTTCCCGTCATTGTGCTGCCGCACGTGTAGCTGCATCCAGCATTGCCATCTAGTGAGCTAGCTAAGCTCAAATACTCAATCGTGAAGGAGGAAGAAGCTTATTAATTAGTTGGCTCACCGGAGAGGCAGAGACGATGTTGGCCGTAGCTGCAAGTGACATGGTTGCACCCGCTGCTTATATACTTGTTGCCAAGGCCTTCTACTCCTGCCTTGTTGGCTTTGTTGCCTTGCTCTTGCTGCTTCTGTTTCAGGACACCAGGCGGTGTCCTCCTTGCCGTTTTCAGATACGAAGAAGAGGAATTGGCTCCGCGGAAACCAAAAGATTGGTTGACATGCTAGTACATTGCTACTGCTTCTTGCTCTTTGTTGACATGCTAGTACATTGCAAAAGATAGTGAATTGGGCGATTTTGCCGCAGCGGCGCTTGGACTCAACGCATGGAAGCGGCGCTGGTGAGGTTTAGATCGAAAAGTTGTCGTCGAGTTACTTCCCTTCCTTCATCGCTACATCTGAGGTCGAGAGAGAGATAGAGGGAGAGATATGACATGTGGGCCCACTGTTGCTTTCTTTATTTTTTCAGTTGGAATGCCACGTGTGTACTAGTTTGTGCAGAAAACAACTCAAAATAGTTTTTAGTATTTGTCCGGTTTGAAGAATTCGGTACACAAAATGTCTGGTTTGTAGTTCGCGGGTGTAAATCGGACCGATGCAATAATTTAGGGGTGTAATTCAGACTTTTTCATATTCTGTCAAAATGCATGACACCAAGTACTACAGAATCATGCTTGTTTAGTACCATAGATATGAGTGTAGAATAGTGGGTGGCCCCTTCTTTATGCAGAGAAACCATGTTATTCTCGTAGCACCATATTTCCACATCTTTGCTTAACCTTCTTATGTGGTTTTTATCCCTATGCTTCTGTGCCTTTGTAGAAAGCCAGCTGCGATACTGCACTACCTCTTTTTCATACTTTAATTCGTTTTATTTTTTTTAAGTCAAAATTCTCTAATTTTGACTAAGTTTATAAAAAAATAGCAATATATTCAACACAAAACAAAAAAACTACCAGAATATGTTCAATGTTGGATATAATGAAACTAATTTGGTGCTATAAGTGTTGTTATATTTTTCTATAAACTTGGTCAAACTTTTAAAGCGTTTGATTTAAAAAATCAAAAGCTACTTATAATATTAAATGGAAGGAGTAATTCATAAAGAAATCCACATTATTTTGACGACCAAACGTCGGAACCTCTGGCTAAACTGTAGAGCACATTCATCCTCCACTAATTGGAGCTAAGGAACACCATATGTAATTGTTACAAGTATCGTTTAAATGTTCATCATACATATATTATAGCAGACATCATTTAAATCTTCAGTATATACTCTGCACAAACTAAAAGTTTGCACAATTTGAAGGGTAAAAAAGAGGCACTGTAACTGCAACGATAAATACGTGTGTACTTTGTCTGATCTGTATTTGCAATTTACACAGGGAGATGGATTCTAATCTCTCGGGTGGACGTCCACCCGTTTCTTGCATGTCACCTAAATGATTATGAAAAAATTTCAAAAAAAAAATTGTAACATAGGTTAATATGTAATATATCATTTCACAAACATGCAAGTTCAAATTTGACTCCTACAAGCTATAACAAAAATAACAAATTAAACTTTAACTAGTATATGTATATTTACAGTCAAATTTGTTGTTTTTGTTACAACTTGTGGAAATCGAATTTGAACTTGCATGTTTGTGAGATGATATATTACATATTAACCTATCATGTTATTTTTTTTAAAAAAAATATCATAACCATTCAGATGACATGTAAAAAACGGGTGGACATCCACATGTATATTCACAGCTTGGTAATCTTGGAGTGCACACACAGCACCTAGTTTTTTTTTACATTTTTGAGCTGGTATCAAAGGAAGTATAGCTTCCTGTGAGCACCGGTGCTTCCCCACCTGACTTGTGATATACACTAATAAGATCCATCAGAGTTAGAAACAGGGTTGTCGTCTTGAGTACTCTGAGCTCCCATAGTTGTTCTAGCATGATGTGTTGTGCTCAAGCTCCCGATGGTATCAGTCTTCTTCATCCTTGATCGCATCTTGGAGCTCAGAGAAGTCCACTATGATGTTGTTCTCCATGGCTATCTCTTTCGTCACCTTCCTCTTTAGCTCCATGCTTTTCGCATCACTGGACAACTTCCACACCAACTGCAAGACCCAACTTTGTTAACTCTCCATTCCTCCATCTTTCCAAATACAAATCATTGACTCGTGAAATGAATGGATAGTATATGCTATCTAGTACCATGGGATCGACGATTCCGGTGCCGTCCTTGGCCGCCTCGGTGAAGTCGCTGCCAAACTTATCCGCAAGGATGGTGCGCGCGAACAGCAACTCCGGCAATTCGCTGCACCAACCGGCGGCGAACATGACCGACGCGGCAGCCTCTCGTATCTCATCGGTGCACTCCCTGGACACACCAAATAGAATTGTCATGTGACCGGAAAAGAGACAAGGACGCGATCAAGTCAAGTGTGAAGAAATGAAATGTATGTACCCAGGCTTGTCCAGCTTCGCAGCATGCTCGATGAGTCGCTTGCAATACATCTCTATCATTTCGAACGCCTCCAACATGTTGTCCTCCGCTATGACCTGCTCTGCCTGTGAGGAGAAAATCAAGACATTGCTGGCATTAGCACGCCTCGCCTTGGAGCAATGTGGATCCCTCTCTTCATCAGAGAAGGTCGTAGACACTTACCCGGTGGATGGCGCGATCGAGGTGGTCGAGGGTGAGAAGCTGGCGAACATCATCGGTGGCAATGGATTTGCGAGCGAGGTGGGGCCGGCGAGCGGTGGCGATGCGCAAGACGGCGAGCCCCAGGAGGGTCTTGAGCTTGCTCGTCTGCTTGGAGGTCTTCCGATGGAGGAACCCCATTGTTAAGTTATCGGTTCTCGGCGGCGTTCCTGTCCTAGGCTGTTGGTTATATGAACTCCGACCTTATCAGTTGTATGGTCAGTTCCTTTGCGTGGGGGAAAGGAAGGAGGAGGAGAATGCGAGTTGCTTGTGTGAGCTGATGGAGGAAGTCTGCATGAAGGGGCAAGGGTTTTGTAGGGCCATGTTGCTTCTGTTCTGGGTAGTTTAACTTTTGTGTTTGTTGCTTCACTTTGGTGTACATGAACTGTCGTACTCCTTTCTTGCATATGGAAAATATTGGGTGGGGGAGCAATTGAGCATCACCTAGAGAATGACAATGAGCAAAGCATGCAGAATGCAATGAGAAGACAGCGAGCCAAACGTGCTTACGTGCAAAGAAATTTACCGGATGTAAAACGCAAACAACATGCAGAAACACCAAAGCCAGGGTAATGTGCTGCTCTGCTTCAAGCAGTTACGAAAGGAAGCACAATTTGTGCGTGGTGAATTTTATTTTAAGATGGTACAGTGAAGACGAGCACCGCATGCACGGCTGAGATAGCAACTAGTTCAGTAGTTTTACTCGCAGATAACAAAGCCATTACACATCTAGGCACTTATGCAGAGTGCCATTTTTCAGGTGTAGCGCAGCAGCAGCAGCAGCCGTGCATCGATCCAAACTTTGTGCAAATAGCGTGCAGAGTTGTGCAATTCATCGATCACCCCGTAAAGACTCAGTTAACCCGTCTCCTTTCGCAAAACGGTGATTACAACTCCTTTGTACAGGACAACAAAAAAAAAAGGGAATATATCACCTCTGTAATTTGTACATTCTCTTTCGTTTCTAGCGCAATCCATTTTAATTATACACATTTGATTTCCCAGAGGCAGAATATCATATCTGTATCTCGAAAGCAGATCCTCTAATTTAACTGCACATGCAGTTGAGTCACTGACATGACTCAACTGCACAGCTGTTAAGCCAGGGGATCCCTTTCCCTGTATCTCCAGGGATCCCGCGCGACGAACCTCCGGTTTGCCAGCAAAAAAGCAACGGCCCCCAGTTCTCCTGCACCGGAATTCAACAGCTGAGCTGACTGACCAATGCGCTGCGCCGCGCCAAAACCAACGACCGGAAGACACCACCTCATCTTCGGGTGCGCACCGAGTTGAGCCTCCCCTGCTCCTGGTTCAGCGGCGCGCGCCCCGGCGCGCCGCCGGCGCCGTACACCCTCTCCTGGAGCACCCGCTCGCCGGTGCCGATCCTGCGCACCTCCTCGTGCCGCGCGATGTGCTCGTTGCTGCGTTCCAGCGCCGACACGATCCGAGCGTACGGCGGGTGGACGTGGTCCGAGCTCTCGTACGGTCTCGCGCCGGCGCCGTCCGGCTGCCGCCGTTGCGCCGCGCCGGCGTTGATGTCTCTGTAGGCCGCGGGGTCCCTCCTGTAGGGCGGGTCCCTGTACTGGCCGCGTTGGGGCGCCAGGGACACCAGGGGCTCGCGGGGCGCGCCGGCGCCGGCGCCGAGCTCGGAGGCGTGCCTCCTGTGCGGCGGGCGCGGGTGTTGCGAGTTGTTGTACACGCCGTCCTGGAACGGCTGCGGGTCGGCGCCGACCCTGCCGGCCTCCCCGTTCCACGCGCCGCCGCCGATGCCCATAGTGGAGGCCCTCCTGTAGGGAGGCCGGCGCAGCTGCGGAGTCCAGGCGACGTCGTCCACTTCCTCGTCGCTCCCGTCGAACACGACGCCCTTCCCCTTCTGCGTCCCCTCCGACCATACCGACGTCGCCGTGCTCCTGTCGCTCCACGACGGCGACGTCGATGGCGACGGAGGCTTGTGCGGCTTCCAGGAGGGCGGCGCCTCCTTCTCGCCCGCAACCGAATTCTGCACCGGATGCACCTTCTCGTAGCCGCCGCCGCCGCCGCCTCTCGATCCCTTCCCCTGCGACTCCGACCGCGAGAGCTCGACGGCCGCCCTCGCGGCCATCGCGGCGAACGATGCCGACTTGAAGGCCGCCTCCGCCGCCATCCTGGCGTCGGCGTACTGTTCTTGCACGCTCAGCCGAGCAAGTATCGGGTTCACTTCTTCGTCAACAAACCTCTGCCTCCCCTGAACCTGTTACAATTTGAATCCTCGACATTAGCCATTAGATACTACAGAAAAAGAAAAAACTGCTATGATCTTGTACAAGTGCTAGTACCTCGTGATGCTCCCTCTTGACCTCATTCTGTTCGACAAATTGTTCAGCTCGGACGTTCCTGGCTTGTTCATTCTGCTTGCCCTGCATTGCACAGTACAGCAACCATACGATTCCGTAACTTCGTAAGATAAAACCAACGAAAAATCTCAACAAACAGGGATATTACATCGCGAGGTAGCGCAGATTGCAACCAACCTGATCGGTATCTCCGGTGTTCTCGGGAAATTCCAGTAAGATATCGTTCTCGGCGGCGATCACCTTAGTCAGCCTCTGCTTCTGCTCCGTGCTCGCCGGCGCGCCGGACAACTTCCGCACCAACTGCAGCGGCAGAGCAACCGTGTCCTCATTAACTCCAGTTCGTTCCGGTCCATGTCTCGCGCAGTTGGCGAGCGACATGACACGGCATGTGTTGGGTGGTAGTAGATGGGTTTAGTTGGAGGGATCAATGATCAATCTAAACCTACCGTGGGATCGACGACGCCGTGGGCGCCGTCCTTGGCCGCCGCGGCGAAGTCCCGGCCGAACTTGTCCGCCAGGATGGCCCGCGCGTCGAGCAGCTCCGGCAGGTCGCCGCACCGCGCCGACGCGAACATGAGCCCCGCCGCCGCCTCCTTGATCTCCTCGCCGCACTCTCTGTATACACCAACCCAAAGATGACAAAAGCTTGCTGATGAGAGGCGATGAAAACGAAGAAACAAGGCAAGGAATTAATCAACCGAGGAGTCAAGAACACGGCTGTGTGCTCTTGCATACATACTTGGGCTTATCTAGCTGCGTGGCCTGCTCGATGAGGATTTTGCAGTAGAGCTCTACGATGTCCAGCACCTCCAGCATGTTGTCCTCGTCGATGACTTGCTCTGCCTGCAGAAACAGAACACGGCGGCTACTGTTAGCGGAGGAGTCTCTGCGCGTGTCAGGCAAGGCAAAAGCATGGCATGGACATACACGGAGGAGAGCGCGGTCGAGGTGGCCGATGGAGAGGAGCTGCGCGACATCGCCGCGGGCAATGGAGCGGCGCCCGAGGCGGGGCCGGCGGGCGACGGCGACGCGCGCGGCAGCGAGCTTGATCAGGGACTTGAGCTTGGCGGTCTGCTTCGAAGAGGCGCTCTTGCCGCCGAAGAGGCCCATCGCCCCCGCCGCGACGCGCTGTGACGGCGGTGTTCGATCGGGTGGTGAGTGTGGAGGCGGCGGGGGTGTAGCCTCCTACCCCTCTCTTATACCGCCCGCTCTGGAATCTTGGATTGGTGCTCTGTGGCGAGCAGCGGCGCGTGGCGAGAGCGCGAAGGAGAAGAAGATTGAAGGCCAAGTTGCTTGCTTGTTTTGGTCTCCGTCCATTCGATGGAAAAACGTTGGGCCGATTTTGGTCTTTTTACCGTGCCAACACATCAAGATAAATTGGTAAGGATGGAATTGGCCGTTGTTTTGTTTGCTATGATTTTTTCTTTAAGCAACCACTACGAGTTAGTGCGATGTTTCGTATTAATGGATCAGTTAAAAAATTACAATTCTACATCTTATAAAGGCTATAACGAACAAAAAGAGAGAAAAAAACACTACCCCAGGCGGTTTGCTTCGATTATATCTTGGTAACATACTCTGTACATTTGTTGGTGACGCGTGCTAAACAGGCAGCTAACAGTCTTGTTGACGAAAAATGCTTGCCATGATCCCAAGGAGAAAAATAGCAGCGGTTTGAAACCCGGCAATGTGTACCTGCATTGTTCTACTCAATTGAAAGCTCTGATGTTCCTGCTTAAAGGAGAACACTTTAGCACATGTATTTATTCCGTATGACTTTTCGAAGAAAATGAGTATTAAGTTCCTGTCCTATAATATTTCTCCGGCAAATCATCTACTAGGTGTCATTATCTTTCAACCGTAAGGTACAAGTACAACCAACTAGCCCTGTTACAGTAAACGAAAGCTCAAATTCTACGGCGAACGCCTTCATCCGCAGTCTGCAGGTGCCGTGCCGATGTCTTGCCTGTTGTTCCTCAAATCTTTGTCTACTGCTCTGCAGTTGGACCGCCAATCACGTTTGGTGATTTGGTCCATCTGACAGGTGTAAAGCGGGGATTCATAGCATGTCGCCGTATGCAAAGACACGACACAAACCACGCGATCCCGGGGCAAATCACTCCGGGCTGCTCACGGAAGCTTTGCATTTGCAGAGGCGGGTCAGCCGGCTTGCTAGATCGATCGACACGGAGCAGAAGCGACTGCTGTAAGAAAAACCCTCTCGCGTCGCTCTCCCGAGGGGCGGACCCGGCCGTCCCTCTCCCCCACCCCCACCCCCTTCTCCGCCTCGCCGTCACCCGAGCGGCCGCCGGTGAAGCCGCGCGGCCGCAAGGACGGTGGCGGTGGGGCGCTCCTTGTCTCCTCGCGCTCGGGTGGCCTGGGGAGCCGCCCGGAGTGGCGACGGCGGTGTCCGCCAGATCCGCGCCGTTCCGGCCGGATCTGGCGGGATGGGCTGGCGGCGGGGACGGGCGACGGTGGCGGTTGAGGTGAGTTGCGCCGGGTGGTGTTGTGGGTGATGGCGGCGGGAATGGCGACGGCGTTGGGGTAGCAATGGTGGAGGCCGCGGATCCGGCGGTGGTGCACCCGGATCCGGCGGCGGCCGGTGGTGGCCAGAGCACGCAGGCACCCCGTGGCTGCCACTGGCGTCCTCCGGCGCCCCTCTAGGCGTCGGCCGGCGTTGGTGGAGAGGAAGACGGCCGGATCTGGCTCCTTGCCCAGATCCGGCGCGTCCTCGGGTGGGAACCGAGTCTGGTCGTCGTGCAGGTGGTGTGAATATCGCAAGTATCCTCGGTGTGCAGGTGACATTTGGTGGCTCCCGTCGTGGATGCTATGGTTGATGGGTGCTCCAAGGCGAAAGTCTTGCTCCGCTCTCGGTGCTAGCAACGGCGACGTCCTTGGGCGCCGTTCACCTTCTTGAAGGCGTTGCTACTGGAGCCCTCGTTCAACTTCACTTCAAGAGTTTTCTCCGGGTGAAAACCTAGATTCGTTAGGATCGGACGATGTCGCCGTTGTCGGCATAACCTTCTTGAAGGCTTCGTTTTAGGAGTTTATCTCATGTTGGACGGCTGTACTTAGGTTCAGTTTGTCAATGTCGGGGTTTTTGCCGGTTTTCCTTTAATTAACCGTGCTGTTGTAAAGTTTTTGGGTCCGGTTTCCCTTATAAATTGAATCAACTCTCTTCTTCTATAGTGAATTGCAGGAGCTCCCTGCCTGTCCCCTCGAAAAAAAAACACGGAGCAGAAGCACCGGCTGATCAATGGCCACTCCACTCGATGCAATTGCAAGGTGAAAAAAAAAAAGAAATGGTTGGTAGTAGTTACAGTTGTGCTACATTGACCAGTTAAAACTTTGTGAGATTAAAGTCGTTCGAATCGTCTTCCATGATATTCCTCCCAAAATAAAAGGCTACCATATTCAGTGCAGAATATTTGGTTGTTCTCGACCACTTTGAGCATGGATCGATTCAGGCTGGCGTTCATCCGACGCAGCTCTAGTCAGCTTGAGACTCAAGTTAATCCCTAGTGATACAATACCATTTTATACCTCCAGAAAGGAAGAAGGGAGAGCCCCTTTACAGCTAGAAATTTTAATCAGTGACCGGTGACTAGGCAGCTGCATGGTGTCGAAACATGGATTCGGCAATAATAAAAGGGGGTAGCGCACGAGACCTAAAAGTGGATGGATGCGGAGACAAAGGATTTAGACAGGTTCAGGCCCTCTCAATGAGAGGTAATACCCTACTCCTGTTTGGGGATTTGAATCCGCCGGGTGTGTATTGATCTGATGATCAGGTTATGTCATCTGCCCCCTAGAGGGCCTCCTGCCCACCTTATATAGGATGGGGGGCATGATTACAAGATAGAAACCTTAACCAATACGGTATCGGTTTCCTAAATCTACTTTACAATATTATCAAACCAGGACTTTAGGCCGTTCCGTAATATACAAGGAAACGTAATACCCGAGTCATGATCTATTACATATTCCATAGATATAAGTTATCCCCTATGACTAGTCGGATAACCATGCCGTATGGGTATGGGGTACCCACAATATCCACACATGGTAATATATATTAGAGGATATAAGGGCCCCTTTGAATCGTAGGATTGAAAAAACGGAGGAATAGGAAAAATATAGGATTCTGATAAGAATGCAAGTATAAAACAGAGGATTGCAAAACACAGGAAAAACACAGGAATGGCCGTTTGATTGGACCACAGGAAAAACGCAGGATTCAGATGAGAGAGATAGACTCAAGAGAAGTTTTCCAAGAAATTGGAGTGGATGTTAAATTTCCTACGTTTTTCCTCTAGAATCGTAGGAAAAGGAAAGTTTCCTACGTTTTTCCTTTTCTCATTCCTACAAATCAAAGGTATGAATAGTGTAGGATTTCAATTCCTTTGTTTTTCCTCCATTTATCCTCCAATTCAAATGGGGCCTAAAAATCTGAGGTGCTCTTCGATGATTCGAGGGATTCTGATGGGTGGCAGTTAGCTAGGCAAAAGTGAAGCATCATGGCCCATGAAGGGCGGCCATGGGCGTTAACAGTCATTAGTCCACTTAGTTTAGTCCTTTGCCGTTCCTTTCACCGTTGCTTCTCACAAGCGCCTACTTGGCTCGACCGATCGTTCGATCATCCACGACGTAATTGTGATTAGTTTTGGCTGTTTGACGTGTTGTTGCTGTGGTCATGGAGTGTACTGCAGCAAAGCAAGGACAGGGGGCGTTGCAAAAGTTGTACTGAAGTTGATTTTCAGGAATCCTGCGTTTGGACTTTGGAACCGGTCCCTCTCATGGTAATCACTAAAACCAGAAGTTCAGCACTCAACCGTGTCAATGGGACTCTAGAAAAAAAACAGGTGCAGAAAATAAGTATGTATCATGAACTCATGAATTCTAGTACTCTAGAAAAAGGTGTAGAAAATACTGAAAGTGGAACGTCTTTACGGCATGGTCGTGGTTAGGTCGATGCAGCAAAGTATTGATAATGAATTATTGCACCTTAGTTTTTACATCACACACCACAAAAGTCCATATAGACCAAGATAATAACTGTAGAAAACTATTACAGGCAGACGGTAATCCGTATAAAACATGGCAGATCGTTCTCGCAAGTCCAAATCGCCAATAAACCGATCCAAATCAGACAAGAAACACATAAATAAGCGTCAAATAAACCGGCGGTTAATCAGACCGCTCCATCCATCCAGAAGATGACACACGCATCAACACAAAACGAATCCAGGACGGCCGGATGCACGCTATCATTCGTGGGAGCAAGGTTAGCAAACAGAACAAATTAAGCGTGATCTCAACCAATCATTATTATTTGCACAGAAGAAAAGAAGCACGGATGAGCCGGTAGGATTAGGAAATGGTTGCTTTTGATGGCGAGACGAAAAGCAACGCAGCGGGAGTAGTATTCTCCAACGCAACGAATACCTGTGAATAACCTGTCACTGGAGTCCACTGACGAACACAGACAGAAACGGCATAATAATTGAAAAGCCATATGCCAGTTCTTTACTGAATTTTTTTCCCTCTTGCGGTTTCTGAAGGTTCTTCTATGTGGAAGATAGCGATGGCGTCGAGCCCACACGCGCCCATTCTGATCCTCATCCAGAGTGGTGGGCGGAGGCGATCGGGACAGGGTTTAATTTGCAGTTTCTTCTTATGATCTTATCCCGTCGTGGAGTGAGCAATCAGCTCGAGTTGTGTGCTTGTGTCCGTGATTCTGTCGCCGATGGGATTTGGGTTCGTTTCTTGTGGAAACTATCCTGATTCTGACCTGTTTTTGACATGATCAGGCAGGACGTCTCGGCACTACGTGCAGGCTAGCTCCAGCCAGGCGTCAGCTACCGCAAAACCATCAGAATCCGATGCGCGTACGTGTTCAAACGCAACTGATGTTCAGTATCATATCGAATTCGGCGGGATGTCTAGTGCAGTGGACACCTCTGACTTGGCTCTGCTGCAACCTTGATCCGTAAGAAAACACATGCACCTGCAGTCATTTTAGTAGCAGACAGTAGTATCTGCTTTTAACCTTGGTAAGTTAGTGTTAAGTCAAATAACCATGCATCAAGAAACGCTTTTCTTTTTTCACCAAACACATTGAGTGTAGTACGGAAACACGCGGCCTCCTACGGCGATGCCATCCGGCATTTTACAAGGGTAGGTTGGTGCCAAAAGCGTCGAGCTTGGCTGGATGCTATCGTCAGTTGGTCTCCTTACCAACTTGATTAGTAGTAGTACTAGTTTGATTTTGTCCTGGTTTGGTCGTTGATGGTGAACGAATTGGAATTATCCGCCTTACAAAAGAGCTGTAAGGATCTCGTGCGATTTGGTGAAGCTACGAGCAATTCCAGAATCTCCAATCATCAGGTCCCATGTGAAGAACCGAAAACCACTACAGTGACACGAAGAAACATTCCTTATTTCATCAGGAGGTACATAATCATTATACTACCATAATTCATGAATGGCTACGTGTCAGATATATGAGTTATATTAATCTGTGTAGGTCTAACTACGCCGAGCATTCACTCCAAAAAACTCCTATCTCTAACCTGAACAATTCAGAGAAACATCTTTTCTGATTCAGTGGTGATCCTGGCAGCGACTCTGTACCTGTCTACTGGTCTCAACTCTCATCTATGCTGCTTCATGAGAACTTTGGCCATTTTCAACAGTTCAGCAAAACTTGCTTGGTGAAGAGGAGAGGGGAGAAAACCCATATAGGCTGATGGTACACGGCCTGTTGGGCCAAATGAATTGGGCCTTTTTGGGCCGACCAAGTTTAGCCCATTTGCCACTTCCTCTCCCTCGCCCACCAACGAACAGGGGAAAACACAGCGAGACCTTCCCCGTCAATGTCCGCGTCCCCTTCCAAGGAGGGAGTTAGGGTTTAACTCCGACTGAACGATCCCCCCCGCCGGCCACCGCCCTCGCCGGCGTCGATCCGATACGGCGTGCGCCTGGTCGCTGCACCATGGGGTACCTGCAGGAGGCCAGGGAGAATCACGTCAAGAAGAAGGTCGAGGAAGGTGAGCCCCCGCATCCTTTGCCTGTTCAAGCTTCCGAATTCGTTGATTTGGGGGGTCTTGAGGTCTGCAAAATCGCCTGATAGTTGCGTAACGGGTGAGGTACTGACGAAAAATTGCGCTCCGCTGGTGTTGCTTGTTGAAATGGGAACACAATCCTGTGTGAAATGAGTCGTCAAACGAGGAGGTTAAGGAGGTTGGCTGCCGTTTGGCTGGCCGAACCTTGTAGACTTTAGTTGAGAAGTTATGTGATCTAGTGCTTGCCGGTATGGAAGCTGAATCATTAGTTGATTAAGCATGCCATTCAGATTTCATAGTTCATGTACATCTCTCCCAACTGGTTAACACTATCTGATGATGGTAACCGGTATATGCTGTAGTTAATTTGTTTACAGAATGTTGGATCTTGTGTGATGTTATTTATTCGTGTATCATTATATAGCTCGGTTTACTAAATATTATATTATGAGCACTCAAGTACATTCAAACTTGTGAGACAGCCCTGTAAAGAATTTGTTGCACTGAGCATCAGTCCTTTGATTTTTTTGAATCTTTAGGAGAACTTTCTTGTGAAAGACAAACTATATGCACAGACTGATTGACTGAACGAACTTTCCTTATAATGTTAGGAGCTGCTGAAGACTGCTGTACAGAATAATAAAGGAAGAACATTCAGAAAATTTGAACATGTGCCTTTTGTATTTCAAAAGAGTTTTCTCAATTAGTTGTTCTCTAGTGTTAGGTTAGAATATTGTACTTAAGGGGAAATTTTGTGCTTTGCTTGACAATATCCAAGTTTCTTGTACTTCACATCAGAGAGTTAATTTAGCCCATTCTATTTCACTTTTCAGCTTTGCGGAGCAAAATGAAGCAGAAGGCCCTTAAGGAGTGTGATTTCTACTGCTCAAAATATGCTGAGTGTGCTCGAGGTAGAACTTTTTCGGTGGTATGGCAATGCCGCAAACAAGCAAAAGAGTTGAATGATTGCCTTCATCAATTGTAAGTTGATCATTATATGCCAGTATCCTAATAGTAATTCAAGCGGTATTCCGGTTCGTGTTTGAACATTGTTGATTTTTGTACAAACCAGAGCTCCAGAGAGTTCCATAACATGCTATAAGAATATATAAGGAAAATTGTGCATGGAGCCTAATCACAGAAACTGATTAGCTACTTTGTACTGTTCATTCAGTAGATACTTATTGTTAAAAACATCCACGCACTAATATGAGCAGGGAAGTCTGCAAGATATTTGTCAACATCTTTACTCTCTAATCTGTACATATATGAGGGGCGAGGATTTCCATTGCTATCAAAAATATCTTCCACTATATGTTTAATCATTGTATGCTGTAGTCTGGCTGTTATTTCAAGTTAGGATCTAACTTATTGACCAATGAATACATCAGTATTTCCTGCAATATTACACTGACAGTAGGAACCAGGCTTATTTTGATTTTTATTTGGTCAGTCTTTATTTTGCTATGTAGTACATTGTTAGGGATTTGATGGAGTCAAGTTCAGTGAATTCTTTGTTTTAGAATCCCAGTCTAAAGCTACCTGTAACTGTACTAGCATCATCCTTTAGGAGCGTAGTGCTGAAAGTTATTTCTTTCAATGCATTTGGGAAATCTCTCTGTCAAGCATTTACTGTTACATTTTTTTTTCTGAAGATTTCCTGATGCTTTGCTTGTAGACTGGTATTGGCCAGTGCATGATAAATACACCGCGGTTCTTTTAGATGTAATAACCATGCTATATGTGTGTATGCTTGCAGCACAAATGATGCAGTCCTGGAAGAAATGAAGAAGGCTTACATGGTTGAGCAAGAGAGCAAGGAAAAGAACCAATAAGCATTATGCAATGGCCAATGGCCAATGGGTTTCTCCATGCTTGTACGTACATTGCTCCTTTTGGAATTTGTTAGTTGCTTATTAGTCATCTTAATTGATTTGATGCCGAGTTCCTGGAGACTTGAAAACATTGATTTTGTTCCACATGCATAATCTGGTATAACATCAAGGTCCCTATGCGAATAACCTTGTGTTCCCGTTCTAGCTACCATATGTTGTAATATTCGCCCAAATAGATAGCATATGAATGCAGAGAATGTGGTAAGCCTTCCTATATCATGTTCTTTAGGGTTAGTCATGTTTGCCATGATAGTATATTATCATGCCATAGCCCATAGAGTGGTCAGCTTGTTATTATATTAAAGGCATTAAGACTTATAAGTACAAACTTGTTAGATAAACATACAGAAAACTAACAAGCAATGGTAAACCACAAGTCCTCATCATCTTCCTCCTGAAAGATCAGACCCAGGGCCAACTGTTGTTGCCAATGAGGATGCTTCCAGCATGGCGTATGACTCAACCCTTTCATTCTGCAGAAACATTAGTGTATCATAGTCCAAGTCTGTCGGCAACATCTCTGGTGCCAGCACAGTGCCATTAGGGTACTGCAGGACTTGCCGCATGCTCGGCCGTGCACTAGGCAACGGCTGCAAGCAGAGGAGCCCCAGCTTCAGCACCAAGTTCGCCTCCTCGGCAACATACTCACTGCTGAGCCTGGGATCCACCACGTCAAGAATTTGTCCTCTGTTCCAGTTCTCAAGCACCCAATCCAGTAGCACGACCTGGTTGTCCTGGAGGTCATGTTCCAGAGGCCTTCGGCCACAGGCCACCTCCAAAAGAAACATCCCAAAGGCAAAAACATCAGTAGCTGGTGATGCCTTCCCTGTGCGGAGAAGCTAAGGGGATAGGTAACCCATTGTGCCTACAATATGTGTAGTCCTTGGGTTGGTGCCATGGTCGTACAACCTTGCAAGGCCGAAGTCGCCCAAGCATCCATTCATCTCATTGTTGAGAAGCACGTTATTTGCCTTGATGTCTCGATGTACAACGACTTGTTCCCATTCCTCATGGAGGTACAATAAGCCAGATGCAATCCCTTTGATGATGTGAAACCTTAGGTTCCAGTCTAGAACAGGATTGTTCTTGTCATGTAAGTGCTTGTCGAGGCTACCATTTGACATGTATTCATAGACCAAGAGAAGTTCACCCTTGCGTCGGCAATAGCCAAGTAGCTGAACTAGATTCTTGTGCCGAAGGCGCCCCATGCTGACAACCTCTGCAATGAATTCCTTCACCCCTTGCCTAGAGTCATGTGACACTCTCTTCACCGCAATCTCTGAGTTAGAGTTGGATACAGAGAGAACTCCTCTGTACACTCTCCCGAATCCTCCAATTCCAAGCAAACGCTTGCTCCCAAACCCTTGTGTGGCATCGAACAGATCTTTGTAAGAAAACCTTTGTGGTCCAAACTCAACCTTCCAATCTTCTCTCAGCTCGGCATGCCTAAACCATCTCTTGACAATCATGAACCCCACAAGAAGCAATCCAATGACAAGAGCAGCCGTGGCTATCGGCAGCACAACCACCAAAATTTCAGATCGATGGTGCCTCTGCTCTAGTTTTGGCAACACAGGCAGCTTAGATGGGTTGAGAGCAGGGGCAGCTCCATTCAAGCTGAAACTCCAGCCAAGAACATAATGGTAGGCAATGGAGAGGCCTGTCGCCGACGAGAATCCGATGTAGGCAATATCCTCCACTACCCTCGATAGGTCGAGGCCGGTTGGGAGCAGAGGTTTCTTGGGCTTGGACACACCCAATGGAGCTAGCGTCACATTCAGAACCATGGCCTGCCCATTGTAGTCCACCCACACCTGCATGGCCTTGCGGCTTATCAGTGTCAAGTTCATGAACGCGCCGGTGCTGTCATCATAGTAGCCGGCGGTGTGGGACTGTATGAATTGCAGGCTGTTCACGTCAATGCCGACATGGTTGCTGTCTATGTCGTGGAGCTCCGGGCTGAGGACGGTGTCGAGCTCGACGGCAAAGACGTGGTTGCTCGCCTTGCCATTGTCGCTGATGTTCATGAGACCCAAGTGCTGCGCCCCTGTGGTGGCCGAGAGGTTCTTGCTGGGCGCGACCAGGAACGCGAGGCCGTGGTCGCTTAGCTCCGCATGCTCGGAGACGATGGCGAACACGAAGGTGGCAGAGAAGGATGCAGTAGCGCTGCTGTTCGGCGTCAAGTGGAAACTGACAGGAGTAGGATAGAAGGCGTGGCCTTTGATGTGCTTGTCGTTGGTGAGCTTGAGCAGGCCACTCGGCGTCACGGCGGCGGCGCCATCGAGGCTGAGGTTTGCTCCGGCGAAGCCTTCGAAGGCGAACTGGTTTTCGCTAGCAGATGGCGCCACCAGCTTGATGCAGTGGAAGACAGTGAGTACAAGGAAGCTGGAGATGGGCCTGATGATCACCATGGCTACCGTGACGCATGAGCCAGGGCAGAGCTCTCAAATTTTGTCACTTCCGTCTTCAGTGGTTGGGTGAAGTTTCTGAACAAGCAGCTTTGTGGCTTGGTCTTCATCCAAGTCAATTCAATACTAATGCATCATCATCAGAAACAGTACCCTGCTAGAAAGGACAGAGGGAGAAACAAGGATGCCGTAGTAGTGAGATAGTCAGACTACTGGGTACCAAATTTCTAGGGGATAGGTTTACTAGTGGAGTAGTGGTCTAATTGCTTTGCCGGCCGGCCACGATCCGTCAACATTTGACTCGTTCGACAACCTTGCGTGGTGAGAAGGAGGTGTTTGTTTACTAGTCTGTGCATCTGTGGTCACTCAAGTTCCTTGGTTTCAACTCAAAACACATTGTATATTATGCTTGTCATTCATAGAGATATACACTGTACACTAAGAATCAGACTCCGGATGTTTCCCATGCGAAAGCAAAGTCTTGATTTGTACTCCTATAAAACTTCCATGTCTACCACGAATCCAGTCTACCAGGAATTTTGCTGTCCATTACAGATTTACAGTACAATTTTCCATTAGCGCCACTAGTACTACTACAATCATACTCCTACATCATTTGTAGTAAATATCATCTGTCAACACAAAACCATATTATCACCTTCCTCCCGAGAGAGTACTAGACATAGTACCGATGCTTGATGACGATGTCATTGCGTATGACATAGCATCTGGGTTAAGCCCCTTGTTCTTCAGCAGAGTCGCCATGCTGAAGCCCATTTGCGCTGCCCTCAGTTCCGGGAAATCGCTGTCGCCGTTGAGGTACTGCACAACCTGACGCATGCTCGGCCTTGCACTAGCCAGTGGATGCGAGCAAAGCAGGCCAAGCTTGAGCACAAGCTCAACCTCCTCCTCGGCATAGCCATTTCTGAGCCTTGGATCAACTGTTTCCATGATTGAACCGCTGCGCCAATAGTCGAGCACCCAATCGACAAGCACCATAGGAGCTTCCTGCTCAACAGGCCTACGCCCACATGTAACCTCGAGAAGGAATGCGCCAAATGCGAATACATCTGTATATGGTGTAGCTTTGGCGCGGTGTCCAAGCTCAGGAGCTAGGTAACCCATTGTGCCAACTACATGAGTGGTGTTTGGTTCAGTACCATGGTCATATAATCTTGCAAGTCCAAAATCGCCCAACCGACCGTTCATCTCAGCATCGAGCAGTACGTTGCTGGCTTTGATGTCTCGGTGGATGACTACTTTCTCCCAATCTTCGTGGAGGTACAACAAACCTGATGCGACGCCTTTGATTATCTGAAGCCTTCGAGCCCATTCTAGAGTAGGTTTGTCTTGATCATATAAATACTTGTCGAGACTACCCATCGGCATGTAATCATAAACCAGAAGGAGCTCTCCCTTTCTTCGACAATAATCGAGCAATTGCACGACATTGCGATGCCTTAGGCGACCAAGGCTCACAACCTCAGCAACAAACTCTTTCATCCCTTGCCTTGACTCATGTGAAATCCGCTTCACCGCAACCATCATCTTAGACTTTGGAAGCATGCCCATGTACACCTTCCCAAATCCTCCCATCCCAAGCAACTGGCTCTCTTTAAAACCCTCGGTAGCATAGAACAAATCCTTGTATGAAAAGCGATGTGTCCCGAAGGGAACATCCCAATCCTCACGCAACTCAGCAAACTTAGCCCGCTGTTTTGCTACGGCAATAGCCATTGCGGCTGATGCTAGAACAAGCACCAGAGATACAATGGGCAGAACAATCACTAGGACCTGTGATCGGCGCTCGCTGATCATAAGTGGCAAAGCCGGCAGAATGGAAATGTTGAGAGGTGGGGCTGTGCCATTCATCTTGAAGCTCCATCCAAGCACATAATGGTGTGAGAAGATTATCCCTGTCGACGACGAGAAACCAACATATGCCGGTTCAGTGACCACTGCTGAGAGATTGACAATGGTGGAGATCAGAGGTTTCTTGGGCTTGGTTATCTCAACGGGAGCCATGGTCACGTTGAGCTCCATGGTCAGGCCATCGTAGTCTATCCACACTTGCATCGCCTTGCGACTAATCAAGCTCAGGTTGCGGAACAATCCCATGTCCTCGTCGTCGTAGTAACCGGCGGTTGCGGCTTCGATGGAGGTAAGGCTGTTGATGTCGACACCGACATGGTTGTCGTCGATGTCCTGGAACTCCCCGTTCAGTACGGTGTCGAGCTCGACGGCGAAGAGGTGGTTGCTCGCGTTGCCATTGTCTCCGGCGTTGACGAGGCCCAGGAAGTGACCAGGCAGGGCCGTGGATAAGTTCTTGCTCGGGGAGATGAAGAACGCCATGCCCTGGCTGCTCACGTCGGCGTACTGGCCAACGATGGCGAAGACGAACGCCGTGGAGAAGGACATCACGGCGGCGCTCCTCCCGTCACGCGAGCCGTGGAAGCGCAGAGGAGTCGGGTAGGACGCGTGCCCTTTCATCACCATGGAGCCGTTGGTCAGCATGAGCAGGCCGCCCGGCGCGACCGCGGCCATGCCGTCGAGGGAGAGGTTCGCGGCGGAGAAGCCATTGAAGGTGAACCCCGCGCCGTCGGCCAAGGCGGCCACGATGGCTAGGTGACTGAGTTTGAGAAGCAGCAGAAGTGAGCTTGCAGAATTCAGACGCATGGCTTGAGATTGATGTTCAGAAATGGATGGGAGATTTCAGAGAGTTCAGATTGATGGTGAATATATTGCTCGCCGCTCTACTTGTGCAGTCTCCTACTCTTCAGTCTTCACCAGACCAGGCACAGGAGCG